TCGTGACTGGCGAGCACTGTCGCGATGCGCAGTGCTTGACCGAACTGCGCACTGACAATCGCTGAGAGGTGCACGTCGTCTGAACGCCCACCTGCAGTATCACCTCTCAGCGTCGTCTTCATCGGGGTCTCGTCGTAACGGCTGCAGTCCACATAAAGCAAGCACCCCGCTGCACCGAGGGACTCTACCAGAGATCGCTCAAGCCGCTCTCGCAACATAATCTGGCTCAGGAAGAACGCCTCTGCGAATCGATGGAGCGCACTCTTCAGCGACGATCGGGCGCGGCCAGTGTTCTTCTCGAGCTGGGACCAATTCAGCACGAGCCCGCTGGAAGTCTCACCCCATTGCTTCACCACATCCAAAATTATCTGGTGGTGCGGCGCCCCAGGGGCCGCCCCGATGATAGCGCATTCACCGAGGTATGACAACAAGTCGTTGGGCGGCGACAGCGCGTGCCGAGACACTGGCAGGCGCTTGTCCCAACTCGTCACGGTGATGGCTTTCGTAACAGGCACCCGCTGAACGATATTGCGCTCGAGAACAATAACAGGCTGGTCCGAGGGAACATTCGCATTGTCGTCCAACTCCATCGCTACCCGCGTTGCCCACGATGGTGGGCGGCCTCGCCGAACAGATGGCCTGGCATCCCGCTGCGGTGCTGCAAGGGCATCCTCCAGCGAAGCCAGCAGCGCACCCTCCGCGCGTGCGGGGCCCTGATCTCTCGGCTCAGCAGCGAGGCTCGATTGGGCTGCCACCGCAGCCCACGGATCGCCAGGCACAACGACTTCATCGGATGTCCCTGGATCAGTCGGCTTTGCCGCCACGGCGGCCCATGACATAACTAGCGCTAACAAGCGCATCCTCTCGAAAAAACATGGAAGCCTGTGCTTCCCGCAGTCGAACGATTCGAGCCAAAATGGTTGCAGGGAGGCGGGCAGAGGCGGAGGACATGGATGGAGGGCGGTTTCGGGCGAGGGGGGGCGCCCCTAGGATAATGGTTGCGCAACGTGGCCTTGGGTTGCTTGCTTTGGGGGGCGGGGGTCATCAGTGCGCCCGCCGCTGCCAGACGCTGTCGCAGGAAATCCCACCAGCCTTGTATGGCGTAGGATGTCTAAATGCGTTTCTCTTCCAGCTCCATTCTTGCCCTTCGGGCAGTGGTTTACCCCTCCCCCTGCCCTTCCCCTGGACCTGGACGGGGGGGAAGGGCGGCAAGCGGTAAGAGGGTTCAAGATCGACCCCCTGGGCATTTAAAATCTGGCACCTCTCACGCGGATCGCTGCCCCCAGGGGGATGGGATGTAGGACCCCTCTTCTTTATTATATGCTCCCCGAGATGGTTCCAAGAGACGTCTTGGACCCTCCTCTTAGGCCCCGCGAGCAGGCGGGCGGGCGCAACCTGCTCGCGCGCGCCTCTCCGAGGCCGTCCCCAGAGACCGCCAAGATGCCCATCAGACACCCCAAGGGTCCTCAGATGACCCCACAAGAAACATCCCAAGACACTTCGAGAAGAATACGGCCCTGTCAGCCCTCTCATCCTTTTCTCGTTCCTCCTTCGTCTCCTCCCCCAGTGCCAGCATGCCCCTCCTCCCTCCTCCCTCCTCTTTCCGACCCCGTCCTTCACCGCAGCATTATCCTATCCACTCCTCCTCCTTCTCCTGCTTTTCTCCCCCTCTCCTCCCCCTCCTCCTCCTCATCATCATCTTCCTCCTCGCCCTCCTGTTCCTCATCCGTCTCCTACTCTTCCTCATGCTCCTCCACTTGCTCCCCCTCTCCTCTTATCCCGCACCTCCTCATATTCCTCCTCGTCGCGTCTTTCGCCCTCTTGTTCTTGGCATGCTCCCACGCTTCCCTGATTAATTACTTCAAATCCACATACACATCGTTTCTGGATGGGCTGGTGGGGATGCGACAAGCGACAACAATACGGATCGTGGCGCACCTGGGGGGATGGGCATTCCTGGGGAGAGGGGCCGTCTTCGGCGTGGCGCAAAGTTTCACCATGGCGAACGAGTCGGGTTTCACGGCAAGGCGGGGTTTCGAGACGGAACAAGCTGGGGCTGCAAACTACTTTTTGTCGACGAACCACTGCCCGACAACATAAGGAAAGTTGTCGGGCGAAACGCGGTTTCGCTCGGCCCTCGGATTCGATCGGGACGCGTGGCGCTGCACCTCAATATTTTGGGGTTCCCCCCCCTCTTCTTCCACGCTTATCCCCTCCTCCGCGTTCACTGACCACCCCTCCTCAACTCCTCAACCCGAGGCCATCTCTCCCTCCCGACTCCCAGCTCTGTCCGCCCCTCCTCCCACTTTGAAGATGCTGCAGTTCGATTTGCGCACCCCGCCGCCCACGCCCCTTAAACCCTCATGTTTTCGTCGCGTCGAAACTTCTCTCGCGCACTTGAACTGCCAGTTTCGAGCGCCCCCCGCAAACCCCGCAGAAAGGGGCATAAGGCATACATCAATGAACGTTGGCTTCTATTGCTGCGTACCGCGGTTGGGAAATGGTGGCTCCGTTTACTTGCGGCGCTTTGATAAAGAGCCAATGCCAGATTTCAGAAGGCACGGGCACGCCAATGCTAATGAGGAACGCGAGCGTGGCAAGCGAAAGGGCCGACGCGGCAACGGCGGTTAGAGCAACAGCGCAGCGAGGCCGAATCTCGAGACGATTGCGACCGACAGACTTACTTTGCGGCATCGTTCCGTCGCGCCAGGGCCCCAACACTTACTGTCAGCGGATGGTGCGAGCGCCCCCAGTGTTATTTTCAACGATCCACGCAAACCTATTTCCAACCTACTTTCCACCTATTCCTGACTTTCCTTCGTGTGAGCCCCTTAGCAGGGGCTCCGCCATCATAATCCAAGAGGCCTCCACTGGGGGGCCCTTCCTCTGCGTGCTGCCCACTTCCCTGATCGAGCCACTTCCTCTGGGCATCGTTTCTGAATGGGCTGGTGGGGTTACTTTTTGTTTTACGGTCGCGGCCGCGAGACGACGGTCAGGCGGCGAAAGCAAAGTCCGGGACGCGAACTAGGCGAATTAGCTAGGACAGGCGCAGGCTCTGGTGGGGTTACGCGAAGCGTCTAGAATTTATCAGTGCCCCCTATCAATAATCACCCACTCCCCCAGGCGACCGGCAGCCAACCAGAACCAATGACAACCCCGCCCCACAACATCCCTGTCGAAAACAATGCAGAATACACTTTGGCGTATAAGCTTGGGTCATGCTCGTGGGCCCTGCGAGCGCTTCGCATTGTTTGTTGACAGCGGCGGCGGGGGTGCCCTCATATTGCCTGCTGCGCGCAAGGCCACCATCCCTTTCCAAAAACAATACAACATACACTTCGCGGCTTAATCTGGATCACGCACGGCCACCCCGCGATCACTGCCCGTTGGTTTTTGACGAAGAGGCAGGGGACGCTGGCATACTGCCTGCCGTGAGCAGGCCCACCAGACACCATGATTGCCTCCCCGCCGCGATGGCGCACTGGCTTTCGACGGGACGGTGGGGGCCGACATGCTTCTCGACGTGTGCTGTCTCGTGCGCGGGCCCACCCGGCACACCCTGCGCGTGCCCCGAACGTGGCGCACCCCTGGCGCGGCTCGGCCATGCGGCACACGTGGCGCGCGGGGAGCACGCGGCGAATCGGGCGTGCCAGGCATGGCTGCCACGCCTGGGCCCCAGGGGCGCCTGGCGCACCGGGAGCGCGCGGCGCGCCTGTCACGACGTGGCGCACGTCGCCCCAGCGTCGCGCACGCGGGGCCTGCACCGGTTCCCAGCAGCTGTCCATCCGTGGACCACCGCTGAGCGCGCTGACGCTCGGGTGCTACTTGTGTGTCGGGAGGGCAGGTGAAGGGAGCGAGGCAGCTTGCGGGCGGGGAGGGCGGCTTGCCCCCTCCCCTGCGCCCTCCCCCAGGGCATGGACGGGGCGCCCCGCGACCGACTGGAGCGTCCAGGATGGCCTCGACGAGAAAGCACAAGTCATTGGTCTTACGTCGATGTTGGGCCCATGTTGGCCTCCTGGGGAGACCCATATTGAGGAGCCTCCCTTCCTTGATCGATCTCCTCCAACATGGCCCCAAGATGGCCCCCGAGGCTCCCTGATCAGGGCCACCCGCCCCAGCATCCTTTCTGGATGGGCTGGTGGGGTTACGCGAAGGATGCACGGTATGGATGCAAGGGCCTTGGACGCCCATTTCGAAGCTTCTCGAGCGGGGCGCAGCCAACGAAAGTGGCCAAGGATGGACCGAGGAGGCAGGGATGCAAGGGTACCTATGGGAAGGCTGCCCATCCTTCCTATTAGAGGCCTCCTAGATAGGGGTCAGAGCAGATGGGGTCGGAGGGTCGCGCCGCATCGCCGATACATCGGCGATACATCACCGATACATCGACGATGCATCGGCGACGCCAGCGTGGAGAACATCGGGCTCCACATCGAGCCGCATCGCCGATGCATCGCCGATGCGGCGCGATCCTCCGACCCCATCTACTCGGACCCCCTCTGGGAGGCCTAGAACTAACTATGCGGGTTGACTGTATTAGGGAAACGAGCTCTATACACCGACGCTTTTCCCGACCCTGCGCTGAAACTCGCACAGGAACGCGGATTCTGGTGTATACGGGATCCTGGTGTGTATACATGTTTCGTGGTTTTCCCGGGGCAGCGGGGAAAAAAGGATACACTACACCACCCCAGCGTCGCCCCCGACCCTCAGAAAAGTCCTGGGATTCAAGAAACAGCCCGCCACTGGTAATGTATACATTCCAGTTTCCGAAACTCGGGAGCGGCCAAGAGGGGGGTGTCCAAGAGGGGGGGGTGCAAACCATGACCGGCGGCATGCGCGCGGCCCAGCGGGGGGGCCAGGGACGTAAGGAAACGAGAAGAGGCGCCCTGAGATCTGGGCAAATCTCATGGCCCCCGCCATGATAGCCACCCCCCCCCTAGTCATCACCACCCCTCTTTGCCGCCCCCGAGATGCATGTCTTGGCGGTGCCCGAGCTCGTCCTGGCCGGGGAGGCTCTCCGAGCCGCGGGCCCGCCGTCGCGCGGCGGCCTCCTCGACGCGCGCGCACTCCGCGTAGATGCCCAGCCTGTCCTCGGCCAGGCGGGGGGCGTACGGGCCGTCCGGGCTGCCTTGGGGGGGGGCGGCGAGCGAACGAAGGGCCACCGCTGCGGACCAGCGCCCAGGCCTAGCCCAGGCCAGACCCAGGGAAAGCCCGACTGCCAGCCCCACAGCCCCACGGCCAACCGGACTGCCAGCCCTACGGCCAGCCTGACGGCCAGCCCGACTGCCAGCCCCACGGCCAGCCTGACGGCCAGCCCGTCTGCCAGCCCCACGGCCTCCCCCACGACCAGGCCTACGGCATGCGGGCGAGGCCGTGGCCTCTGGAATCTGGCGCGTCTGGGAACGCCTACAGGGTTGGGAGGAGAGGAGGAGGAGGAGGAGGAGGAGGAGGAGGAGGAGGAGGAGGAGGAGGCGGAGGAGGAGGAGGAGGAGGAGGAGGAAGAGAGGAGGAGGAGGAGGAGGAGGAGGAGGAAAGAGGAGGAGGAGGAGGAGGAGGAGGAGGAGGAGGAGGAGGAGCAGGAGCAGGAGAAGGTGCTAGGCGTCGGTGTGGTAGCCTGGTGGGACTGGGGGGCTGCATACATCCACAGGACCATGCCCCAGAGATTAGGAAACAACTCCTGGGAAGTTTTCGCAGGAACAACTAAGAGCTATGAAGCACGATTCAAAACGCATTAAGCTGGATCAGCTCAAAACAGGCGGGGGATCAGGCCGAATTAAGCGGGATCAAACGGGAGTAAACTGGACTGTGCCGAATTAGGCCGCTTTTCAACCGCGGATACCGGCGATGCTGATCCTAACAGACGTGCTCGCGCCGAAGAACATCGCGACAAAAATTGTTGGTCGCTCTCGGTCTCCAGGGGCGCTCGCTGGTCCCCGGGGCAGTGGAAAAACGGCTCGGGATGAAGATCCCCCGGAAGAGGCCCAGGCCTCGGGGGGGCCACGCAGCAAATAAGAAAACAGGGCGTCGGATACGGTCATCGGCCTGACCTAAGGCGCGATGAATAAGGAACGAAGCCCCTTTTTATCCCTAGGAATAACCCATCAGGAACGATAAATAATAAATACCGCATACAGAACTCTAAATAACGCATGTAAACCTAAGGAACGACCGAGCCCCTTTTGAAAAGTAAGTGTTCCTTACTCAAGCCGCTCACTGTACTTGGGCCCGCAGGCCTGGACATCCGAAGGCTTCGTTGCTTATGTAATCCTGGCGATGTCCCTCCGGTCTTGCCTCCGGGCACCGTCCTCGGGCCCTGGAGCCATCAGACACGGATCTGGGGCGAAGAACTGGCTCTGGGGAGGTGGTCGAGACGTCCTTCTGGGGCGCGAGGTCAAAGCATCAGCTCGTCGGATTTCGGGGGAGAGAACCTGCACACCAGCACCGTCACGCCTGGCCAGGGCTATCCTCGGGGGGCAGAAAGTCCCCCCCCCCCACGAGAAGCTCCCCGACGAGCGAAGCCGTGTGGTAAACGCGCCCGATGGAGAAATCGAGCAGGGTAGGGCTGTTCCGAAAACGCCCAGGGCCGCTTCGTCAACGCCACCTGTCGGGGTCTGGGTGGTTTTTCCCTCCCTTCAATGACTACCTACCAGACCACCCCAACCCAACCCGAAGACCTCAATTTCGGGTTGGGGGGGGTGCACGGGTTCCACATGTTTTTCAGTGTTCCCCGACCCCCCCCCCACCACTGGAAATGGAAGGAAAATTTAAGGCCGTCGGGTTGGGTTGGGGTGGTTTGGTGGTTTTCTCCTCCCTTCAACCAGGTGGAGGTGGGCACAGGCCCATATTTTCCCACATGTTCTGGGCTTTTGCCTTCCCCCCCCCACCTCCCATATGTTCCTATATATTTTCAGGGGGAATCGACGATGAATTGTGTCTGTGTGTTTTTCCCTCCCTCCTGGTGTGCACAGGTGCCTCTGACTACCTACCAGACCACCCCAACCCAACCCGAAGACACGAATTTGACCCGAATTTCGGGTTTGGGGGGGTACGGACACCATGAGTTCTTTCAACGTTCCCCGACCCCCCCCCCACTGGAAATGGAAGGCAAATTGATGGCTTCGGGCTGGGTTGGGGTGGTTTGGTGGGTGGTGAGCCTCTGTGCGGCGCCGGCGCGGGGCCCGCCCCCCCACCCCTCTCGCCGAGAGCGCCGGGAGCGCGCCAGGGGCGAGGGGCGCCGGAGGCGCCGCCGGGGGCGGCGGGGAGAGGGCCCAGCGCCGCCCCGGCGGCCTGCGCTGCTCCAGGCAGCAGTACGTCGGGCGTGTCCCCCTACAGGGGGATGTTCATCGATCTTCTGTTTTTTGTTATATCTATATATAATATGTATGTATGTATGTACGTATGTATGTATGTACGTACGTACGTACGTACGTACGTACGTACGTATGTATGTATGTATGTATGTATGTATACTAAAAAACGATCAACAAATACTCCAAAAATAGTCCCCAGACTATGCTTTGACTAGTCTTGAACATTCCTCCTGCAGGGGGACACGCCCGACTTAAAGGCAGCAGCACGCAGCCCAGAGCGTGTGGACACGGAGCGAACACGCGCGGCCGGCGCCATACGCTCGCCAGGACAGGGGGCCACCACGCCGAGCCAGCACGCAGCGCGCGTCACCTGGACGCTCTGAGCACGGCGCGCGCTGCGCTCCGGCACGGGCGCATCCAGGCAGCTGCGTCTAGGATTACGTCGGGCCTGTCCCCCTACAGGGGGACTTTCGACGAAAAATAAAAAATACCCCCCAAATAATGAAACAATAGTCCAAAAATAATATGGGGGCTGTTTTGGGGGTATTTCTTTGACCTTTTTGGATCACTTTTGGGGTATTCTTCATTTTTCGTCGAAAATCCCCCTGCAGGGGGGACACGCCCGCCAGAAGTCCAGGACGCGTGTTGGTCTGCGGCGAGCTGGGTCCCACGGGGCGGTCGCGCCAGCGGGGCGGGGCGCGTCCGGGGCTGGCTGCGGCGGCGGTGGAGGAGGGGCAGGACTGAAGGGGCCCCAGGGCACACAAATACATAGACACAAATACTCCAGATTTCGTAATAAAGGGAGGGGGGTCTCATTTCGGGGGGGTCTCTTCCAGGCTATCTTGGAGGGCCTGGAGGGGGTCTGGGGACGATGTTTTGGAGGGCTCTTCCACGGGGGGGGGGTCTGAAATGGCTTGTCTTGGAGGATCCAGACCCCCTCTCTTTTATTACGAGATCTGGAGTACACAAATAAACATGTTCCCCATACTTTCCCATATGTTCTAAGTTTTTGTCTTCCCCCCCCCCCTTCCCATATGTTCCCAGATTCTCCTGGGGAATCGACGATGCATTGTGTCTGTGTGCTTTTCCCTCTCCTGATAAGACATGCGGTGGCAGCCCATGGGATCCCCCCGTACTTGAAGGGGCCCTGGGACACACAAATACATAGGCACAAAAAAACAGGATCCCCCATATGTTCCCATATCTTCTGGGTTTTTGTCTTCCCCCCCCCACACTTCCCATATGTTCCCAGATTTTCCTGGGGGATCGACGATGCATTGTGCCTGTGTGTTTCTCCCTCTCCTGGTAAGACATGCGGTGGCAGCCCATGGGATCCTCCCGCACCATCCTGTCGGCTCTTGCGGATCGGCGCTCGCCGACGCTGGCCGGCCAGCGCTGACCGGCGCTGAGGTCGAGGCCAATGGACGCTCGTCGGCACCACATCGGTGCTGCCTCGTCGACGGCCCGACGATAGTCGACGCTGACGCACGCGAAAGACAGAATTGCAGTCGGGGCGTTGACCTAAGGAGCCCAAAATAAGGAGCGAGGCCCCTTGTTTCCAGAAGTTGACCTTCGATTCCCAGTCGAGAACCTAAGGAAAGCCTGAGGCAGGCTGCGAAACACTTAAGGAACGCGGAGCCCCTTCCCAACGAAGAGGGTTCCTTCTTCAGGGCCCCGACTGTACAGCGGTGCTGCCTCGTCGACGCCCAGACGATAGTCGACGCTGACGCACGCGAAAGACAGAATTGCAAGGGCACACAGGGCTCCCATGATCTGCTGCCGAGAATTTGGACGCCCGAAATGGGCACGGAAAGAATGGGCACAATGCCCAACCACAAGTGCTGTCCCAAACCAACAGCGGCCGCTGTTGGGCAGGCGGCCTCCTGTCTCAATCAAACGGACACAGGCCGCGGCGGCGCGGACAGCGAGTCCTGTTCACAACGAACAGGAACTGCTGTTGGGCATCGTACCCATTCTTTCCGTACCCATTTCCCCCATATGTTCCCATATTTTCCGGGTTTTTGTCTTCCCCCCCCCCCCCCTCCCCATATTATCCCATATTTTCTGGGGAATCGACGATTACTTGTGCCTGTGTGTTTTTCCCCCTCCTGAACGATCTGCTGCCGAGAAAACTGGAGGAGAAAGCGGCCGCGGAACGGCCAGAGAGCTCTCAGCCTATGCATAGATCTTCCTGCGTCGCCGGAGGTCGGGCTCAGGATCTCGACGACGGCCAGACAGAAGAGCGGCGGGCACGCGGGAAGGCAAAGGTCCAGGGCGAAGCCGCAAAGTGAGGACAGACTCCAGGGCAGTTTTTAACACGTGGGATTTTTGTTTGAAATATCGGAGCTTTAATGCATGACTAATCTATGCATAAATTTATGCGTGAACTCATCGTTGCTTTTAATGCTAAATGCCTGCATTTCTAGTACATGATCCGCACGCGGAGCACGTATTGAAAACGGCACTGTACGGCAGACCCAAGACACCTGGTCCTAAAAGTTGTTGCTTGTTCCGTTTCTACGCCCCTCGGCTACCAACAGACTTCGAGTTCTTGCGCAGGTTGCGGACCATGGACGGCGCAAGCTGACCGAAGAAGAACGCCAAAATCCGGTCTGGGATCTTGACCCCCGCGTCGACCCGTGAGGACTGGACAATCGTGGTGCCGCTGCACCCGCCGCCCCTCGGTATCCACATGTTGGAGACCCTCGCGCTCACCCGCATGTTCCGCCAGTGCCTCGGGGGCAGCCGCCGGCCCTCGGTGGGGAAGTCCGAGCGGATGGACTCGGCCAGGAAGCCATGCTCGGTGTTGTAGAACCTGCAGACCTCCGCGGGGCGAAAAACACATCCGTATCCACGGCCTCGCGGGCCAGGCCCCTGGGCCGCGACCCCCCCCCCCAGACGCGGCGCGCTTCTTCGCGGACCACCCGCGCGGAGCGCCTCCGCGCGGCCGCGTCCTCGCGGGATCGCGCCCGGGGATCCAGACCGCGAGGGCGTGGATGTGGACACAGTCGACCCGTCGAGTGAGGATGCGCGGTGATGGCGCAAGGGCCTTGGAAGGCCACGCCGCCACGTCTGCGAGCGGGGCGCGGCCAGCGAGAGTGACCCAAGGGTGGACCGAGGAGGCAGGGATGCAAGGGTACCCTTGGGAAGGTTTAGGGGAACGAAAAGTGGCATGAAACATAAAAACTCGGAGGTCCGCGCGGATTTCTCGGATCGGCGCTGGACCCCCCTCCCTGGCGCGCGGAGCGCGCCAGGGGCGGCGCCGGAGGCGCCGCCGGGGGGCCCCAGCGCCGATCCGAGGAATCCGTGCGGACCTCCGAGTCTTTATGTTTATGCCACTTTTCGTTCCCCTAAGGTTGCCCATCCTCACTATGCGCGCTGACTCTACCTTCGCCGCTCGCGAGACCTCGTTGATCAGCTCCACGCGCAGCAGCAGCACCCCGACCACGATGCGGACGACCGCGTGCCACGGGCCCGCGTCCCCCAGGAAGGCTGGCGTGCCCAGCACGCTCGGCTCGTGCTCCGGGACCAGGTCCAGCTCGTGGCCGTACGCGATGCAGTGCGAGAGTGGCGCATCGATGTCGCAGACGGCAGAGGAACAAGAAACGGCACGAGCGTAAGCGTTCGGCGCTCCGCGCAGAGGTCTTGGATCTGCGCTGGACCCCCCTCCCTGGCGCGCGGAGCACGCTGGGGGCGGCGCCGGGGGCGCCGCCATGGGGGCCCCAGCGCGGATCTAAGAGATCCGCGCGGAGCGCCAAAAGCTCATGTTGCTGCCGCTCTTTCTTCTTCGAGGATGATCTTGTACTCGATCCACGTCTCGCCCGCAGGCGCGTGCACCCACAGCTGGCTTCCTCCCGAGGCCGCTCCATCGGAGTCCGAGCGGGTCGGGGCGGGAGGGTCGCGCCGCACCGCTGACGCACGGGCAGTGCGCCGGAGCCGCCGGCCTCTGGGTCGGGCCGCACCACCGATGCGGTGGCCACGCGGCGCGCTCCTCCCACCCCAACGTAGCTTGGCGGCGCGCACAAGGGGGTGGAGGGAGGGGGGAGGGCTTCTTAGAGGGAGGCTGCTTCTTAGAAGGCGCCGGCCTGACATCTACAGATAAGGCCCGCGCCTTCTAAGAAGCAGAGGTGCTTCTAAGAAGCCCTCCCCCCTCCCCCCACCCCCCTCTGCGCGTGGCTGAGTAGCGTCGGGCCCCAACACTTAGAGGTAGGTCGGGCATGTCCTCCTACAGGCGGATTCGGAAGAGAAAATAAAAATTGGCAACAACTATGCAAAAAGCAAAAGAAAAAGAAAAATCGCCCCCAGACTACAGTGGAGGCCAGTCCACAAGAAACCTTCCAGAAGAAACCAAACCCTGAGACCCCAGGGCGTCCAATGATTTTTGGTGTGGGAACGTCACGTTTCCCATAGAAAGACCATCCAAACCCAAGGAATCCAGGGCACCCTGGAGGCAAGCAGGGTGTTTCTTGGCATGGGTCTCCACTGCATTTTTCCTGTCGAGGGACATGCCCGAGTAAAACTTCGACGGCCTGGGTCCTTCGCCCTCCCACAGGAGCTTCTGCTGCCGGTCCGGCGGCCCCAGCAGGCCAGCAATCTCATCGTACTGCTGGCAACGCGCGCAGACCTGGGGGGGCCAAGAGGAGACCGGCACCGCTGCTCTCCTCCTGATCCTCCTCCTCCTCCTCCTTCTCCTCCTCCTCCTCCTCCTCCTCCTCCTCCTCCTCCTCCTCCTCCTCCTCCTCCTCCATCGTCCTCCAGTCATTATTATTCCTTCTCCTCCTCCTCCTCCTCCCCCTCCTCCTCCTCCTCCTCCTCCTCCTCCTCCTCCTCCTCCTCCTCCTGCTCCCCCTCCTCCTCCTCCTCCATCCTCTCCGCGCCCCCCAGACCTCTCCCGGAGTGCACTTTGACCAAAAGTCTGGAGATAACTCCGCCGCGGTGACAAGGGCAGGGTCGAACGGAACCATTCTTGTCCACACGGGGTGCCCGAAAGTCCGGGGTCCCGACCCTTTCCCCAGGGCTAGTTCTTCATCCTGGGTCGGAACGGTACGATGTTTTCCACAAGGGGTCCCCGGAAGCCCGGAGGCCTGGCCCCTTCCCCAGGGCCGGCCTTTCTTCTCCTGGGCCGTTCTGTTGGAGTGCCCCCAGGGCCTGGCGGGGGCCCCGTGGTGGCCGAGAGCGACCAGAAGAAGCTGTCCGTCGTGGCTTTCCCGCAGCGCGAGCATGGCTGGGGAGCGGCGTCGGTGCGGAATCCCCCCCCCCAAAAGAGGGGGTGACCCTGAGGGGGGGGGCATAAGTTCGAGCCGTTGGTGCACCCAACTGCCGAGAACAGATGCCCCCCACATGCCCCACCTGTCGGCAACTTTCGGGAGCTGCCGGCGGCTGGGGGGGCATCTCTTTTGGGCAGCTCGGTGCAGAAGCCAATCGAACTCACACACACGCTGGAGCTAGGGGAACAAAAAGTGGCATAAACATAAAAACTCGGAGGTCCGTGCGGATTTCTCGGATCGGCGCTGGACCCCCCTCCCTGGCGCGCGGAGCGCGCCAGGGGCGGCGCCGGAGGCGACGCCGGGGGGTCCCAGCGCCGATCCGAGAAATCCGCGCGGACCTCCGAGTTTTTATGTTTATGCCACTTTTTGTCCCCCTAGGAGCACACACACACACACTCTGCGGGAGCCCGATCGGTGCCTCTCCGGGACGAGCAGCGGTGTGGGCCCCTTCGTGCCCCTCCGGGGACCGCCGCGTGGGCTTCGCTGGCGCGCAGGTGGTCTGCCGCCCGCGCCGCGTCCACATCCTCAGCGCCGGCCTCGCCGAGGCGCGCGAGCGCGCGGCCCAGCACCTCCTCTCGGGGGCTGCCGGAGGTGTTCACAGGGGCCCAGGGGCACAAAAATTGATATGGGAGGCCTGGAAATGGGCACCAACACCAAGACAGAGGGCTGCCTCCACAGGGGGGAGGTGTTCCTGGATTTCGGCGTTGGTGGTAATATTTCGGCCACCTTGGAAGCCAGAATATTACCACCATCACCGAGATCGGAATCTTATTCCCTCGGTGGAGGAACACAGCCGATCGTGCTGTTGGTGTCAACCTCTAGGCCTGCGATAATAGACAGAAATTCCAGGATTCCCCATAGTTCCCCTTATCCTCTGGGTTTTCGGCTTCCCCCTCCCCCCCCCGCTTCCCACATTTTCTCATCTTTTCCTGGAAGTCGACGATTTTACAGTACTTGTGTCTGTGTGTGTTTTCCCCGCCTGAGCGTTCTTGCCCCAAGGCATCCAAGCTATTGCGAACAGCTGGAGACCTTGCGGCCCTCCGTGAGAGGCCTCCTTTTTATGGGGTCCGAGCAGACGGGGTCGAAGGATCGCGTCGCATCGCCGATGCATCCGGCGATGCGGCTCGATGTGGAGGCCGAAGTTATCCACGCCAGCGTCGCCGATGCATCGCAAAAGTCGCCGATGCATCGGCGATGCGGCGCGATCATCCGATCCCATCTGATCAGACCCCATCTGGGAGGATTAGAGCTGTCGAAAGTGGGCAAACCCTCTTTCGCAAAACTCCCGTTGGTGAGAGCTGCCAGGGCAGTCCACGTGCGCATGGCACCGCTTTCCGAGTGTACGCCAGCGGGGCAGCTGATCGGCGCCTAAGAACCAGCGAACGTATCTGGCGAGACGCACGTCGATCCGCGAAACCGACCGGGGACTGGCACCGGCACACTCGAGCACCGTCGAGCGACTCCGTGCAGATTTCCTCCGCCGACCTGCCTGGGGGTGCCCTCGGTCAATGCCCGACTCTGGGCCTCCTTCTGGAGGACACCCTGGGCAGGGGACACTCCACACCCGACTCAGCGCCCCTCGAACGGGGACTCCACTGACGTGCACGTTGGCCAGTGACCCGGCGAACCCAACCCTCCCCGAAGCGGGCAACGCTGCAACGCCAGAAAGAGATCCCAGAGTGGCAACCTCCGGCAGCTTCCCAAAGTACCCCTTCGTGAGCACCCGTTACGGTGCCGCTGACCGATCCTCCGCCTCCAGCGCCCGGTGCCTGCGCATGAGGTCAGCGGCCTCGGCCACCGCCGCGGCGGCGACGCCGGCCGGGCTCGAGGCATCGCTCCCCTGGCTGACCGCCGACAGCTCCCTCGAAGGCGAGGACACGCAGCAGGTCGAGCCGTCGGAGGGCGCGGCGCCCTTGCTGCGGGGCCCGTCGCCCTCGCCGGCGCCCTCCGTGCGGGCCGCGGCCTCGGCGGCGCCCTCCGCCCGGGCCTCGAACGAGCAGGCGCCGCCCTCGGCAGGGGCCGCCGCCCCGCAGTCTGCGCCGAGCCCCTCGGCGGCGGGCGCGACGCCAGCCTCGCACGCGGCCTTCTGAGACCCGCCGCGCCCAGGCTGGGTGGTCTGGCGCGCAGACGCGAGGAGTGTCGGCGGAGGCCCCCCATCGGACGCTGCGTCTGCCGCGGGTATGACGTCTGGCGCCTCGTCCGCGGTCGCCTTTGACACGCCGCACCCCATCTGGGCAGCGCGCGGGGCTCGGTGGAGGGGGGGTGGGGGAATCCGGCAGCGGCCCCTGCAGCCGGAGAGCTGCGAGGGGGATCCGCGAGCTCCACCCCTCCCTGCCTCCACTGCTTCCTCATCTCGTCGCATCTCATCCTTCGCTCCTTGCATTCCTCCCTCACCCCTCATCCCATTCTCCTCCTCTCTCCTGCAGCCTCGTCATCCTCCTCCTCAGCCTCCTCCTCCCCATCCTCCTCCATCCTCCAGCCTCCACCAGCCTCATCCTCCTTCTCCTCCTTCTCCTCCTCCTCTCTCCTCCTCCTCCTCCTCCTCCTCCCCTCCTCCTCCTCCTCCTCCTCCTCCTCCTCCTCCTCTCCTCCTCCTCCCTCCTCCTCCTCCTCCTCCCTCCTCCTCCTTCTCCTCATCCTCCCCTCCTCCTTTTCGTCCTCCCCCTCCTCCTCCTCCTCCTCCTCCTCCTCGTCCTCCTCCTCCTCCTCCTCCTCCTCGTCCTCCTCCTCCTCCTCATCATCACCATCATCCATTATTCCTTTTCCATATGGACGACTCCTCCCTATCGCACCCCGAGGCATGTCGAAAGGGCGGGCCGGGCCGGCGTTTCGCCTGAGACTTCCTCACCACTTATAACCCTGATGCTTAAAAATTGGCATCAGCTTCGCAAACAGAGGGCGGGCCGTTTTCAGAATATGGTTCTCACCTTAGCGCCGCGCACATTCGTTTTAAACATTTGCAAGACCTGCATGGATTTAGGGCGGGTTGTTTTCAAAATGTTGCTCTCGCCTTAGCGCCGCGCGCATTCGTTTTCAAACATTGCACCGAGCTTCACGGATTGAGGGCGGGTCGTTCTCAAAGGCTCTCGCCATAGCGCCGCGCATATTCGTTTAAAAATGCGCAAAAAGCTTAACGGATCGAGGGTGGTTCCTTTTCAAAATGTGGCTCTCGTCATAGCGCCGAGCACATTCGTTTTCAATGTTTGCAAGAGTTTCAATGATGTTCATGGTTACCGTTCGAGACATGGAGTGCTGGAACGATTCAGGATTGTCAGGGCGCAGCAGTTACGTTGACTCGCGGTGGCAAAATCTCACGAATGGTGTTATGGCACGATTCAGGATCGCCAAGACCAAATAATCAGATTAACTCGTGGCGTTGGAGCCCTGAGAATGGTGTTCTGGCATGTTTCAACATGTTCACACGGTTGTCCCCAACGGGGCAATTCCATGTGAAGGTGAATCCTTTGTAGGGGCCTCTGAAGAGGGATCTTGGAGGAAGGGTGTAGTTTAACATCGTTATGAGTCTTGGGTTTGTTGCACTGGTTCTGATCCTCCTCTCCTCCTTCTCCGCCTCCTCCTCCTCTTCCTCCTCCTCCCCCTCCTCCCCCTCCTCCTCCTCCCCATCCTCCTCCTCCTCCCCCTCCTCTTCTTCCTGCTCCTCCTCATCTTCCCCCTCATCCTCCTCCTCCTCCTCCTCTTCCTCCTCCTCCCTCCTCCTCCTCCTCTCCTCATCATCATCATCATCATCCTCTTCCTCATATCAGTTCCTCCTCCTCCTCCGCCTCTTCCTCCTCCATCCACCCCCATCCCTCTCCTCCTCCTCCGACCTCCAGCCTCCTCCCATCCAGCCTTCAGCCTTTCCCCCTCCTCCCCCTCCTCCTCATCATTTTCTGTTTCCTCCTCTCCTCCCCCTCCTCTTCCTCCTCCTCCTCCTCCCCTTCCCTCCTCCTCTCCTCCTCCTTCCTCCTCCTCCTCCTCCTCCTCCTCCTCCTCCTCCTCCTCCTCCTCATCATCATCCCCATCCTCCTCCTCCTCCTCCTCGTCCTCCTCCTTTCCTCCTCCTCATCCTCCCCCTCTCCTCCCCCTCCTCCACCTCCTCCTGTTCCTCCTCCTCCTCCTCTCCTCCTCCTCCTCCTTATCAGTATCCCTCATTACCAGTATCCTACTCGTCCTCCTCCTCCGCCGCTTGCAAAATCCAGCCTCTGGATTCCTCCTCCTCCTCCTCCTCCTCCTCCTCTCTTCTTTCTCCTCCTCATCATCAGCATCAGCACCATCACCATCATCAGTATATTTCCTCATTCACCCCTGCAGTTCCTCCTCCTCCTCCTCCTCCTCCTCCTGCCTCTTCCTCCTCCATCCACCCCCATCCCTCTCCTCCTCCAGCCTCCTCCCATCATCATCCCCATCCTCCTCCTCCTCCTCCTCTTCCTCCTCCTCGTCCTCCTCCTGCTCCTCCTCCTCATCCTCCCCCTCCTCCGTCCCCTCCTCCACCTCCTCATTTTCCTCCTCCTCCTCCTCCTCATTATCAGTATCCTACTCGTCATCCTCCTCCGCCGCGTGCAAAATCCAGCCTCTGGATTCCTCATCCTCCTCCTCCTCTTCTTATTAGTCCTCATCATCCCCGTCTTCTTTTTTCGTATTATAATTAGTACTCGTAGTATCATTATTATTATGAACCGTAAGAACAATGATGATACTAATGATATCAGCAGTCGTAGCATACATCGTGTGCGTGTTATTCGTCCCAATGTTCTTAATAGTATTGTGAACGCTTCTGGGTAATAGTACGACTCCCCGTAGAAGTAGCATTAATCGGATTAGTTGCACTGTGAGTATTAGTTGGATTACTCTTCTGGGCAGTACTCTTAGTCGTATTAGTACTCGCCTTAGTCTTCGATGTGTTATGCACATTCGTAATACTCTTCGTGTCGTTATTGTTCGGTGTGCTATTCGTAGTCGCCTTTCGTCGGCGTATTATTAATGCTATAAAGATTAGTAGCATGCTGGCTATTAGCATTAATAACACACTTAATACGATACTGTTCAGTAGTATAATGCGCTGTTGTCTGTGTTCTTAACAGTGCTGGCAGCAGCATTCGAATTAGTGTTGATATTAGTAGCGTTTTACCATTCGTTATACAATTCGTAAAACATAGTTGCTATCACACGTATTCAGAATAGTATTAGTATTCTTAGTACTAGCATGATCAGTCGTAGTATTGTTAGTGTTACTGCTATAATGAATACTAATATGACTGCTGATATTCCTCCTCCTCTTCCTCGTCCTGCTCATCCTCCTCGTCTCCCTCCTGGTATTCCTCATCCTCCTCATCCTCCTCATCGTCCTCATCGTCCTCCTCCTCCTCCTCATCCTCCTCCTCCTCGTCCTCATCCTCATCCTCTCTCCTCCTCCTCCTCCTCCTCCTCCTCCTCCTCCTCCTCCTCCTCCTCCTCATCCTCCGTCGCTGGGGGGGCACCATACCTGAGGGCGGGGGTTCGGCAGCCAAGTGGGAAAAATGGGACAGCCAGCGAGCCAAGCACGAGGAGGAATGGAAGACGGTGGCAGGTCCCAAAGGTGAAATTCTATGCCACCACTGCGGATGCCGTAAGAACTCAAAAGGATCGATGTGCTGCAAGCATTGTGGCCAAAAGCTCGGTACTCGTCCCCAACCACTTGATGACTCTGGGGCCCCCATGGCGTCGGACGAGTCGGGGAAGGGAGCGAGCAAGGGAAAGAAAGGGTACAAAGGCGGCAAGGGAGATCTGTTCGGTGGCAAGGGCCCAGGCAACCTCTCCACGGCACTCCCTCCTGGACCTGTTCCCGAGATTCCCCAGGCCAAGGCCCTCGAATTACAGCGTCTGGCTCGTGAGGCTGGGGACGCTGTGGGGGCCGCGCGCTATGGAGCCCTGGCGCAGAGGGCGGCGCCGCCCCCGAAGCAGTCGGGGAGGCAGAGGCTCATTGCCGCAGAGCAGAAGCAGGAGAAGCTCGAGAAACGCCTCAACAGTGAGTTCGAGAAGCTGGAGCGCTGGCGTCGGGCGACAGATGAGCTGGCAGTCACGGTTGGGGCCCTGGCCGAGAGCTGCAGGCTGCCGACGACGAGGTGGCAGCCGCCCTGGTGGAGCTCCAGAGCCAGCACAGAGGGCCACCAGCGACGGAGTCCAGCGGCCTGCCGAGCATCAGCCTGCGCAAGCTCATCGACGGTGAGATGGAGCTGGCCAGCCTTATTTCTTGTGACGATTTCATTGATGTGGAGGCTGTCAAGGGCAGCTACGAGGTGTCGGAAGAGGACCTACGAGAGCTCGAGGATCGCAAGAACAACGTGGCGAAGCAGCTGCAAGAGGTGCTGGGATCGGTATTTCGCCAAGCTCTGGAGAAGGCCAATTCCGCCCAGGACCAGCACAAGGAGCACCTCAAACGACTCCAAGCGAAGCGACGACGCACTGCTGACGGTTGCCCTGGGGAACAAGCAGCCGCCACAGGTGGGATCGAGTCTGGACCAGGGGCCTCGCCAAGCCCAGAGACCGCGACAGCGAGCTCACCTGCCGAGGCGCCGGCTGATGCAGTTGGCAAGCCTGCCCCACAGTTGGACATTCGCTCTCGTGTCTCTGATGACGTTGGTGTGCAGGCAGCAAAACGGTCGGGGCTTTAGCCACAGCGTGAGCTCGACACAAGTGGGGGCGACGTGGTCGAGTTCGGCTACTCCCTGTTCCTGGTCATCTCTCGGTGCCGTTCCTGAGAAGGCGGCCGTTAGCGTCCTCTCTCCTGAGAGGAGCAGCCTGAGTGAACCCGCCTGCCTCACGGCAGGTGCGAGTCCCAGGCGGGCAGCGGCGCTGGAGGAGCGTGCACTGACGGCGAAGTCGATTGCCACGAGCGCATCGTCAAGGCCGTCTTCTTCGGTTGAGCTGTCATCGTCGGTGTCGGGTACTCCCTGCGCTGCGGTGTCGCCGTCGGCTCCAGTGTCGGCGACTCCCTGGGCTGCGGTGTCGCCGTCGACTTCGTGGGTGGCGTCTACCCGTTTTGTCGGATTGGAGACCAGGTGCGCCTCGAGCCTGGTCTCCTCAGAGTTAAATTGCGAGGAAGAGTGGCCACGGGCTTCGGCGACATGTCAGAGCGCCGAGAACGTGACAGCCAGTCAGAACGTAGCCGTCAAGCCCAACCAGAGCTTGGCGGCCCTCTCGTCCAAACCTTTTGTTGCACGCAGTGAGGAAATTTCAGTGTCAGAACGCGACAGCCAGGCGCTCCTCGAACCTGGCTGTCTCAGAGTAGATTGCGAGAGCCCGTCGTTG